TTTTACCCTTTAATTGTCTAATTTTGTCATTCATTTAATAAAGGGTATTATTGAAAATTTCCAATTTCTTATTGTTAATATATTTGTTTCTTTTAGATATTCTCACAGAACTGTAAATCCTTTCCTTTTTGTAAATGGGTTACGGCCCCTTGGCGTCCTTTTTAATGCCATTACTCTCTTTTATCTCAAATATATATATATATATATTTGTTTCTTTTACAAGCCTAAACCAAACAAATTACTATAACAATCATTTTATTTCCTTAATTTTTTTTTGTTATTCAAACAAAAGAAACATGTTCCATTTTCTTTGAAAAATCATCGTTTTCCTTTTCCTTTCCCTCCATTAAATTTTTACTCAAACATAGTGTAAGAAACCCTAGATGTGACTCCTAGTTAATTTTTTGTTACTTATTCAAATTCTTATGAATGATATCAACGAATCTCTAAGTAGACAAATTAGTTCTAATCTTTGCTACATCAAGATGCCTCTTGGATCTGTCAGTGTAAAGGGCAAATGAGCCATAGACTCAAAATAGACAACAAAGAGAGAGGGCAAAATCAACATTAAAATTATATGAAGATGATCCATTTCTATATCTAGAATCATTATGATGTTTAACTTGAAAAATATGGAAATCGTGATGGAAAATGACATGTGAGGGGTCCGAATTATACTTGGAATATATTATAAACTCTGGATATTTTTTGAGATAGTGCTAATATGTAAGCAAACGTCCTAATCCTGTCCAAGATCTCAAACGGTCCAATGAATCGAGGATTCAACTTTTTCTTTTTTCTAAACTTGCTGATACCCTTAAAAGGGGTGACTTTAAGGAACACTTGATTGCCCTTATCAAATTCCAAATCTCTAATTCGGTTGTCTGCATAACTTTTATGTTTACTTTGAGCTGTTTAGATGTTTTTCCTGATTTTAACTATTTTCGCTGTGGTCTCATCTACAAGATCTAGACCAATCAATTTTATATCACCGATCTCTTCCCAATAGATCGACGATCTATAGAGTCGGTCATACAATGTATTATATAGAGCCATGCCAATACTTGTTATCAAATTCCAAACTCTATCAAGGGTAGGTGGTTGGCCCAATATCCTACAAAGTTTAGAACACAAGCCTTGAGTATATCGTCCAGTATACGAATGATTCGTTCTGACTGTCCATCTGTTTGAGAGTGGAATGTTGTGCTAAGGGACAGTTTCGTTCCCATTGCTTGCTAAAAACTTGTCCAAAATCAAGAGGTAAACCTGGGGTTCCTGTTTGATACCACTGTCACTGGAACTCCATATAGCCTGACTACCCCCGAATATAGATTCTAGTTAACTTATCCAAGAGGTCAGTCATTCTGATTGCCGAGAAATGAGAGGACTTAGTGAGTCGGTCAATAATTATCCAGATTGTGTCATGTTCTGAGCGTGCTCTAGGAAACCATGTTACAAAATTTATAGTGATTTGTTTTTATTTCTACTCCGGGATTGGTAATGACTAGAGTAGCCTACCTAGGTGTTGATGTTCTGTCTTGACCTGTTGACATACATGACACTTGTAGACGTAATCAATAATTTCTCTTTTCATCTCGCTCCACCAAAATCGGGATCTTATGTTTTGATACATCTTAGTAATTTCGGGATGTATGGTGAACCTTGAACTATGAGCTTCTGTCATGACATCTTTTTTTAACTCACTATTATTTGGAACACATACCCTGTCATGAAATCTGAGCAACTAATTAGCGGAGATTCAGAATTTTGGACTTAAACTGTTCTGTATCATTTCTGATAGCTGCTAGAATAGGATCGGTTAGTTGAACTTCTTTTATTCTCTGAATCAATTGAGATTGGATTGCTAAATGGGCCAGACATGTGACCCTTTTCAAATCATGGAGCTGTATTTGTTGTGCAGTTTTTATTACCCTGTATTCAGAAATCATTATGTGAGTAAACAGACATGCACTCTTCTTGCTGAGAGCGTCAACTACCATATTACCCTTATTTGAGTGATATAAGATTTTACAATTGTAGTATTTGAGGAGCTATATCCAACGTTTCTGACGCATGTTGAGATTTTTCTGGGTGAATATATGCTTTAAACTTTTATGGTATGTATAAATTTTAAATGTCTCCCCATACAAGTAGTGGCGTTAGATCTTTAAGGCGTGAATAATGACGACAAGTTTTAAGTCATGAGTGAGATAATTCTTTTCATGAGTTTTCAACTTCCTGAATCCATAGATTATGACCTTTCTGTGCTGCATCAGAGCGTAACTCAGTCCTTGGTAGGAAATATTATATATCCACCTGTCCCACTCAACAAAGTCAAAACTAGCGCGGTAGTCAATCTTTGTGTCTGTTCACATCTGAACTGTTTTAATAGTGGAGTGAGGTTGATTAAAACTTTGTATATTGCAGGCTGGATTTTTATAAAGCTGGTGAAGCTGTTATGTTTTTATTTAGTCTATGGACATCTCATCCAAATTTGGGAAAATGATGAACTTATTTTCAAGCCTCATAAATTTGGCCATAAGGTCCAACTCCTTATTTTGATAGCCAGAAGTGTGTATATTTTCATGCAGGCATATTGCGCACTATTTATACGTACTTATGTATGTTATATATGTAAAGGTGCAAAAGGAACTAAAATTAAGCCTTACAAAATTGGCCACAATGAGCATCTCCTTATTTTGATAGCCAGAAGTGTGTATGTCAGTTTATACATGTTACACGTGTAAATGTTTACTTATATACGTTATATATGTAAAGGTGCAAAAGACACTAAAATCAGATTAGGGGTACAAATCGATCGTTTTCATCATGCAGGACCGAGGAAGAGAAAGAACACTAATATCAATGCAATAACATTTTCTGGTTCTCCTAGAAAGACATTGTCTATTAGCATAAAGGAACCATCAGTTTCTGGTAAGTTCTGTATGAAATACTTATCTTACCAGGTCCTTTATTTAACCCTTGCAAACAAGAGTGCCTAGCTGTTCATCATTTAACAAGTTTTAAAATTCCAGGATGTTGTGAACAAATAACTACTGAGTGGCAACCCCTTGGTGCCTTGTAGATATGTTACTTTATGGTGGGATTTTGTAAAGGCTATCTTGCAAATGAGTGGCACCCTCTTGGCGGCTTGTCTATATATTTTTGCTCTTTTTTTCTCCAAAGAAAGTAATAATAGTAACTACATAGGGGCAACATTTCTTTACAGGGTTTGATTTCCTTCTTTCTATTTTTAGTGACTTCAATATTCTCCAGTATCCCATGGTAGAAAAGAAGTGTTCTGTAAATGTGAAATTTCTTGCGAGAAAAAGGTAGCTTGAACACCTGAAGGTTTATTTGTTCTTGGCATCCATTATTCTTGTGGCAAGATTGAGGAATTTTTATGTACTGTTATACATAATAAGAGGTACTTGTTATTTATTCTGCATGATTCTGGCAGAGAATGGAGAAGTGGTACATTGGATTATGAGCTGCTAAAAGTTTCTTTCGAAGTGCTTGGAAGCCCTGAATGATTTTTTTTCTTAGTGTAAAAATGTTTTTCTCATCCAAAATACTTTCTAACTGGCTCAAGGCTAACAGAAATACTGATCCCTGAATTTTTTTTTTTTTCAAAAAAGAAGTTACTGATCCCTGAGTGAGTTTATGTGATGATAAAATCCTGAGTTGATTCCAGATTTGAAAATTACACGGTAGACTAAAAAATAAATATGATGATATGAAGAGACTGTGCTTTTCCATATTGCAATTACTTAAGTACTAATTGCTTCCTAGGTCCACTTTTGTAGGGTGAAAGATGAAAAGGAAAAACTGAGAAATCTAAAAGAACAGAGAAAGAGATTGATCTTGGTGAAAATGTAAATGCTTGGTAAATTATCCATTGTCATTCTCTGGAATAATTTAAATGAGAAAGCTTACTGGTTGATTGGTTGATAGGCTGATAATTATTACCTGCTGGAGATATAGGGTAGACATTTATGACAACCTACAGCAACAGCAGCTTCGGAAAAGAACCATGTCAACCAGGACGGCTTCACCTTTGTTTTCTGCCCTTTTTTCTCAGAACAGAGCTATTATATATGGGTATATTTTTCTTTATGATGGTAGAATTTCACTCACAAAAAATTGAGAATATCTAACAAAGTCCTTAGTGAAACCTCATTCAGTGTATTTCTGAGCTTTCCATGATGTTTGTTCAGAGTGAGTTGGACTTAATATAGGATGTATAATCCAAAGACATGCTTATTCTATTGGGTTCCCCCATAGTTTTTTCACTTTGAAGCTTTACTACCCATGCACAATGCTAAGCTTTGTTAAAATGAAAGCTTTGAGCTTTGACATTTGCAGTTCCTCAAATTTTCCAACAGAAAAATCTCTCTCATAAGTAGTTTCCTAGCTGGATCATGGTTCTCTATTTTTGACATCCTGGATAACCTATATACAAAGGTAATGGAGATATAGAATGAGAATTCTAGTACAACTTCAAATAGAAAATGACTGTTTAATTCCCTCTATGTGTTGTCATTTGTGGAAGTCAAATCAGAACTGATAGAGGATACTGCACTTTACATTCTCCTAAATGAATGAAGCAGCAGATGGGTATCATGTTTATTTTTCTCTAATGCCTGTATTACAATTATTCTGATGAAGTGAAAAGGAGGAGAACAAAGGGGTGAGGAAATGATATCACTGAAGCATCAGGGCAAAGTGTGTATGTACCTCATGCAGGTTTGGTACTAACCTTGCTGCGTTTTCATGGTTCAGTGAATCTCTGTTCTACTATTGTTTTCTGTGGTTGTGGACGTTATGAAATAGATTGTTTTTTTATGTTTGGTCTGGTGTGGATTTGCCCTTCTAATCTAGAGATATTTTATCTCTATTACCCTGTTTAGTATAGGAATTACCGAAGAGCATAAAGTGTAAAAGAATGAGGTGTTTTTGCTGGTGTATGCGTTGTTTGGTTGGAACAGAAATCCGTTGTTTTTAAGCATCGTATTCACCAGCCTTGTATGATTGTGAAACGATTTCTTTGCTTCTCTTGGACAGAAAGCCAACATACACACACACATATATAGAAGATATGAAAATGTTCCAAGCATGAATAGGGTAGTTTGCTCCTATATATAGACATTTCTGAAACCATCTTCTTCGCTTTCTCTTGGAGAGAGAGCCAATATATCCGATATGCACATCCGTATATATACAGAAGATATGAAAAATATTCCAAGCATAAGGTTGTTTCCTTCCATATGCAGACGATCTTCTTTGCTTCTCTTGGGGAGAGCCAATTTATACACACACAAATATATACAGAAGACATGGAAAATGTTCCAAGCATGAGTAGGGTTGTTTGCTCCTATATATAAGACATTTCTGAGACTATAGACTTTGCTTCTCTTTGAGAGAGAACCAAAATACACACACACACACATATATATAGAGAAGATATGAAAAATGTTCCAAGCATGAGTAAGGTTGTTTGCTGCTATATATAGACATTTCTGAGATGATCTTCTTTGTTTCTCTTGGATAGAGAGCCAATATATAGGTACACCCACATATATGTATACAGAAGATATGAAAAATGTTCCAAGCATGAGTAGCATTTGCTCCCATATATAAACACCACCCGCACATCTACCAGAAGTCATTAGCCCGGTTTGTTGATCGTCTATTAACCATTAAAGTACGGAATCAACATACACTAGAAACATAGATGTGAGTAACGTATGCATGCATCACCTAATAAAAAAACATATATATATATATATGTAAATAAATATGCTTACATCACCCAACCAAACAAACATGTGTAGTCGAGCGAGAGCAAAAAGACTTCCTTTCTGAAAATTTTAGAGTATCCAAAAATTCCAATTATAATTAGAGGGACAGTTTAGGCTACGCTTGTTATTTTAGAAACATATTGTGATAAAAAAAATGATATAATCTTTGGAGAATAATAGAAGTGTAAATAGAAATTAGGCAAGTTTGCCTACAAAATAGTTTAATATGCATTCTATATATATTAAAATTTTAAGGGTATTCCCTAAAATATTAAAATTGTTAAATAACCCGTAACTCTCTCTTTGAGGAACTCAAAAATTACATTCTTTTAATTTAATCACAAAATTAACTTTTTATTGTTCAATGAAAGAACATTGATTGCATTATATAAACTAAAATGTTAATGAAACATAATGTATTAAAATTAAAACTCATTTTAATTTAATAGTTGGTATTAAAAATTGATTTTGAAAACTGAAATCACTTATTTATTTTTTTAATTATTAAAATTAGAGTATTCAATCAAGAGTAATTACATTAATGGTAGTAAGATTATAAATATATAATCTTTTGATATTTTTCTAAATTTAGAATTTATTTGAAAATAAGATAATTTATTTAAAGAATGGTCAACCGTAATTTATGAATATTTTAGTTTATATAAAATAAAATCCTTAAAGCTTAAAGTTTCTATGAATTTAAATAGCAAAATTTATTTTTTGAACATTTTTATCATATTTCAAAAATAAATAAATCATGATTCGAATCATAGAGATTTTTATTACCATTTATTGTTATTTTTAAATATTTTATATCTTATTTGACATTTATATTTTGTTTCTTAATAAAAAATGGTTTCACAAGAATTTATTTATTTTCCTCGAAATATGATAGGATTTTTAAGTATAAATATATCAATTATAAATATTATTCTTAGTAAAAAAAATTTCTAATATGATAAAATTAATTAATTATGATATGAATTTATACATGAAATTAAATTAATCAGTTACCGGTACAATTAATTTCAAGCAACATAAAGTTCAGTCAATTTCGTTTCTTTTTGTTTTTTGTTTTTTTTAATTTTTTGTCAGGGGATAAATTCGTTATATCTGCCGCCACAAGTAGCTCGGAGCTCCCCTCTCTGGTTACCAGACTCCCAAAATAAACCATTCAAACGTCAGATTCTTCTTCTCAAATTCATATCCCCACAAACGATGCCGTTCCCTCTTCCTCGTCTTCTCAATTCAAACATCTAGTATGCAATCATCCTCACTACACTCTTACCCACCCACCATTTCCCCCCCTAATTCACTCCATTTACCGCCAAAAGCTTCACTTCCTGTTGGGAGCAAACTTCGTCACACCTCAAGAATGGCTTCTCCTGGTGGGTTTAGAGTTATCAGGTCCCGGCAGCAGCGGACGGCTGGTTCTTCTTTAACTCTCGATGTAGCTGATGATGAGGTCTGTACCCTAATGGAGTTTGTGGGAAAGGGAGGAATTAATGTGGGAGATGATCTGGTGGTGCTCCTCCATCACATACAGTATGCTTGCAAGAGAATTTCTGCTCTCGTGGCTTCGCCTTTCAGTTCCACTCTTGGAAAGCAGAAGGGTCTCGCTGGTGGGGATGGTGGGTCCGGCAGAGATGCGCCAAAGCCGCTCGACATTGTGTCGGTGCGCTTAATCCTCTCTTTTTCTCTTTCATTCAATAATTTTGATGCATGATGGGTGAATGATATGATTTACTCATTTTGGAAAATTCAGGCAATTCTTGAATGAAACTATAATTCATATCCTGCTGCATTGAATAAAGTCTTAATAGTAATTAGTTAGTGTTAGCTACATTAATATTTATTCATTTTGGCATGAATTGAATTATATGATTTCATGAAAAATCTATGATATTTCATTTCAGGATGAGATATTTTCTTTCCCTCTTTGGTTAAAAGTCAGTTTTTTTTTTTTTTTGAGTTCATTGCAGGAATTAGTGATCTTGATAGTTGATCCGTTTAAAAGAAAGAAATCTAATCTTGCCTCTGTGGAAGTGTCATGGATATAAAAGAACTCTTTATAACAAAAATTTTTGGGCGGAGGGATATTTCTGATTGGTTCTGTTATCTTTTTTAGCAGAATGAAATTATTTTATCTTCTCTTCGAAATTCTGGAAAAGTGGCAGTCATGGCTTCTGAAGAAAATGATGCTCCTGTCTGGATAAATGATGATGGTCCATATGTTGTGGTTACAGATCCTCTTGATGGTTCTAGAAACATAGATGCCTCCATACCGACTGGAACTATATTTGGCATTTATAAGCGCCTTGTGGAACTAGATCATTTACCGAAAGAGGAGAAGGCAGTTGTGAACTCACTTCAGTGTGGGAACAAGCTTGTGGCTGCTGGCTATGTTCTCTATTCTTCAGCTACGATACTCTGTGCTAGCTTTGGTTCAGGAACCCATGCTTTTATGTTAGACCATTCAACTGGAGATTTCATTATAACACATCCAAATATCAAAATTCCTCCTCGAGGTAACAGACCCCAAAATTTTGTACTTAATACCTCACTACTTATGCTAAAATTCCATGGAAGCTACATCAAAAAGTCATCCAGACTTAATGACTGCTGCTATGAAAAAAACTTATTCCTTTAATTAAGATAATTCCAGTTTCATCCTCTTATTCTCTATAATGTACTTCATATGCTTAGGTGTTAAGAGAAAAACAGAGAAACAATGGGTTCGTGCCTGTCATATAGGGTTAAATTGCTGAAGATTTCTTGTTGCTCATTGTTTCAGGACAGATCTATTCTGTGAATGATGCACGGTATTTTGATTGGCCTGAAAGGTTTAAGAAAATACATTGACACTGTAAGACAGGGAAAAGGCAAAACCCTAAGAAGTATTCTGCCCGTTATATATGTTCTTTAGTTGCTGATTTCCACCGGACGTTGTTGTATGGTGGAGTGGCAATGAATCCAAGAGATCATCTTCGTCTGGTGTACGAGGCAAATCCTCTTAGTTTTCTCGTGGAAGAAGCTGGGGGTAAAGGTTCTGATGGTAAACATAGGATTCTTTCGATTCAACCAGTCAAGCTGCACCAGAGACTGCCTCTGTTTCTGGGGAGTCTGGAAGACGTGGAAGAGTTGGAGAGTTATGGAGATGTTCAACAGAAAGTAAATCCTGGATATGAAGTTTAATACTGTACTATCTTCAGCATTGTTGGTTAAATAATGCCAAAGCATTAGCAGGTTCTCCATTTGTTAAGAATTCAAAATTTCAATTTTTGCGATCTGTATAATAAGTCATTCTAGCTTGTTGCTTTGTATCGCTCCAACCTGCTTTCCTATCCTTGTAATTGAAAAGCAATCCGAATTGGTGTGAAATTAAAAAGAGATATATTATAACTACTGTGACCTTTTTCTTCTGTTTTTTTCTTTTTTCTGTTAGTGCTTCAGACATTCATAATACAAGGATCAGGCCTGTTAATGCATTCTCCATGGATTATTATAACTACTGTGACCTTTTTCTTCTGTTTTTTTCTTTTTTCTGTTAGTGCTTCAGACATTCATAATACAAGGATCAGGCCTGTTAATGCATTCTCCATGGATTATTATAACTACTGTGACCTTTTTCTTCTGTTTTTTTCTTTTTTCTGTTAGTGCTTCAGACATTCATAATACAAGGATCAGGCCTGTTAATGCATTCTCCATGGATTAGATGCTGATCACTAACGACATGAGCCAAAGTTCAAGCATTTTCTTTCTACATTTTGAGTGACAAGTTTATATGCAGAATATTCCTCTGTATGGACAGTATGAATAGTTAATAGAGATTTTTAGCATTCTTGTCAAGCATGCATGCTGATTTCACATTCTTTGGTAATTTTGGAGCCTTAAACCTGCAATGTGCATCCCTACCCACTGAAAGACACGAAAAGGGTATAAAATCTCTGAATTGTTTCAGCTTTTTCCATTTTCATTTGTTGAAAAAAAAAACACCGCTCTTGAAGCTAATCAAAATGCTGAATAAACTTATCTATATGATTGATCATGCAGGCTATGATTGTCAAATATTGTGTGGATGTTAGCTGCATTATGTCTTAATGGCTCTCCTTCAGGCTCCAGCATTGCTAATCTCGAAGACCTAGCGACTGAGTCTGAGTGGAATGAACCATCCCCATTTCTCTGCACCTCAAAGCCTATTCCCTTCTAAACCAACAGCTTTGCATTCAAAACCTGGTCTAGTATCAATGGCATGAGGATCTGGGAGTGTGACCAAGAGATTTGATGAAGGAACCCCAGCTTGAATCACACGGCCGCTTTCCTGTGGCAGGATGAGCCAAAATTTTCAGTTATGTTGGCCAGCCAAAACAGACCCTGCCACGATTGACGGTTCTAGCTATGAGCACATCAAGCAGTAAGTTGAGGATGTTCAATACTTCTGGTTTCTTGGGAATCCATGATTATGGAAGTTCAGAATGCTGAACCCCCTATGCCAATTCATGGACTTGTTCGATTGTTATCTTTTACTCACTACCAAACCCTACAAAAACCAGAGACTTCTGCACTTGTTTGTCTAGCCATCTGAAAGTACTAAAACCAGCATAGTCTCTGTGATCATCAGCTTCATTTTCAGGAAATCCTGGTGAAGTAAACCGGCTGTAGAAACAAGTTTCTGGTATAATCTTTGAAAGAGATGTGTTATAATAGATGCTCCTTCAAACTCATTGTAGCTTCTTACTGCTATAAAGTCCAGAGTTTCAGTCAACCTCATATTTGAGATTTTCACATCATCAAGTTCTAAACATTATATGCAGCCACTTCATTAACTGAAGTCAAACGCACCAAGGCAGTGTCATTGCAACCGTAAAACATTTTACTTTTCAATAAGAAATTACAGATTTGAACTCACACGTACTAGTAATTTGTACTTTTAGATTCTATGAGAAAGATTTGCTTTATTTGTGTCTCAGACATCATATGTTCGTTCTCAAGCCTTGAACATATTAATAGTCTACATTATAGATACAGGATTGCAAGTAGCATTCTGTTTGACGCCCATCTCAGAACATACTGCTGGTTTCATCAAATCCTCAAAACCTTCGCAAATAGTCTGCAGAACTGCTTCCCGCACCTGACTGTTTTGAGATTGTCCAGTCAAGATTAAGATAGACTGTGTAGCCATTTGATAGAGCCTTTTTGATGGAGTGGCCTAGTGATTTGGAGATCAAGAATGAGGGAATGGTGATTTTTACTCTATAATTCCCATAACTTGGCGTAGTGTTCATGGCGATCAAGGATTCGTCTACATTGTCTGTAATGAGTATAGCTGCTGCTCCACTTTTTTGAGCTCTCCAAGCTTTCAGTGCAAAGAAACAATCTGGAATATTACAAAATTAATTTGAGTAAACCAGCTTATATATGTGTGTGTGCGTATATATATATACTGGATCAAAAGTAGGTTCTTTTTCTATTTTTGTTGAAACATTGGATCAAACATAGTTATTAGAACAGACTTACCTTGAATCAAATGTAATCCTATATCTTGAACATATCATTATATGAAAAATAAAATAAACAGCATGGTAGCTCAACCATAAAATGATGTACTGAAAAAGTAATTCTATAAAAATTATATATATACCTCCTCGATCAACTAGGACGACGATCGGTGATCCTCTTCCTTTGTGCCAGGAATCGAAGGAGATACCGAAGTGATCAAAGGTGGAACAGGCCTTTCGATTAGCTTCTGGATAAACAACAGTGCCATCCAAGGTTCCTCCATGCTTATTACCACCTCCAAACTCTGCAACTAAACATTCATACTCTCCTTTTATTTCTTCTGGACCAGTCAGTGTCATCTTCTTCGCTATAAACTCATCTCCCAAGCAGCATCCACAAACCAAACCAGAAGCCACGTACACAACAAAATTCCTACTAATTTCTCCTTCATACTTAATTTGCAGTTATTTTTGAATTTCCATACAATACATAGATATATATATATATATATATGTATATATGTGAATGTATACATGTAAAACATAGGAATTCTCAGAATTAAAGAAAAATTTGTTGTTGGAGAGAAAAAAAAAAGTCAACTTTGAAATCGTCAATAGCTTTAACCGTTAGACAGTCGGTCTTAATACATACATAAATATGTGCATCGATCTAAAATAATTATTTTGGTTTAATACAATTAAATGAATATAATATATTTACTCATAAGATATTTAATAACACACAAAAATAAATTTTATAATTAATAATATTTTGATTATATACATAGTGTGTATTCGAATATATAATCAATAATATATAGAGTGTTTTGTTATTAGATAAAATAAAAATAATAAAGATAACTTTATTATAATATATTTGCATGGCTAACATGTATTTGAATTCATAATTTCTGAGAATATATTATAATTTAAAATAATTAATTTATATATTGTATATTATATTAAATTATAAAAATAAATTAACAAATATACAGTTTCGTATTTTATTATTATTAAAAACAAATAATTAATAAAATAAAATAAATAATATATAAATATGCTACTCACAATAAAAGAATATATAGCATATTAATGTCACCTGTAGTTCCTGTACGGAATAATTCCCCATAATGACTGCTCTATCAAACCAATAAAAAAAAAAATCCTCCTAATTTAACTCAAAGGGGCGCAAGGTGACCCATTTAGTTTCTCCACCGGCGCAAGTTAGCACTGTAAACCCCTTAACTTCCATCTCTTTGCATGCCTCCACTTATGGAAAGAGGAAAACAGGCCATAAGCACATGAGAGTAGCAAATCTTTACTAGAGGCTACTCAAACCAACTCTAGCTTGTTTGATACGTTCTATATATCTATCAATTTATCTATATAGATATATACAGAGAGAAGCTTCAAGCTAACGTCCATGGGAAGTCACTTTCTCACTCCACCGGCAAAGCGAGTCATACACTACACTGGAATGTTGGACTCGGACTCGTACACGCCCGACGGATCAGCCAAGCGTGCCAAGACGCACGTCCAGCCGCTGCCGGTGCCAGGACGTCATGTGGCGTTCAGGCTGCTTTGCCCTGTCTCGCGCGTCGGCGGCGTCATCGGCAAGTCCGGGAGCGTGATCAAGCAGCTCCAGCAGTCGACCGGCGCAAAGATCCGCGTCGAGGAGGCTCCGTCAGAGTGTCCCGAACGAGTAATCACGGTCGTCGCTCCAAGTGCCCTAACGTTGAAATGGCATGCCAAGGCATCGGGAGTAAACCCTAGCGGCCATAATAGATATTTTTTTGGAAATGAGGGAGGAGACGGGCAGGGAGATGTTGAGATTTCCAAGGCACAGGAGGCGCTAATCAAGGTTTTCGACCGGATTTTAGAGGTGGCGGTGGAGAGTGGTGGTAGCGTTTATGTGGAAGGGGGAGTAGTTTCATGCAGGTTGCTAGCGGAGAAGAGCCATGCGGGCTCCGTTATAGGAAAGGGGGGGAAAGTGGTGAAGAAGATAAAGAAGGAAAGTGGTTGCAAGATCAAGGTTTTAGCCGAGAAGCTGCCAGCCTGCGCTGAACTGAATGACGAGATCGTGGAGGTAAGGATTTGGTTGAATGGAATTTCGTACACCGTATCATGTTTCTTCTTTTTTGGTCGAATATGTTAAGCCTAGAACTAACTTTTTAGGGTTAAGGCTTAGAGCGTTTACGTTGTGCTTTTAAATTGATAAGATGTTGATAGCCGTCTACAAACTCAAGTTCCTTACGGTAGTTTCCGGAGTTCTTCTGTGAGGTTGCTGCTCTGATTGTTGTTACATTTGTCTTGCAAGGTTTGGTTTCCGGTACCTGGAAAATGCTAAAGTATTTGGACATAATTGAGATTTACAAGGAGCTCTTTGGTGTAGGCTTTATGCTTGCAATTTTAATAGAACATGTCACAATTTATCTTTGGCAAATAATTCCAAGTGGTCGTGGTCTCAGTTGTTTTTTCTTTGAATTTGATTGCAATGGCATGGATTAAATTCTGAAGTACTTAACCTTCTTTTTCGTTCCCTCTCTTTTTCAGCGGGGAGGGTACTTTTGCTGCTTGAGATTTTCAGGACTCAGCATTGAGAAGGTTTTAGTTGTTGCTGGTATTCTTAAACGTCAAACTCAAATGTGAGCTTAGAAAAGCATTTACTATAAGTTTGTTAGGAGCTTTGCTGATTAGGATGCTTCTGATTTTGGCACCTTTAAGTTCGTGCCACCGTATCTCCAAACTTGTATTTGTGATTAAGTCCAAAAATTTATTTTCTAAAATCTTTAATTCATGGAATGCATTAGTTCCTTTCTGTACTTTGATAGCATTTCGTTTTCTTCTTCTGCTTACACTCTTTTTTCTCATTGGAAAATTGTAACTTTTATAGAAATTGCATAAGAAACCTCAGTTTCTTTCTTGTTAACTTTCAGAGTATGTTTTCGGATGGATTCTTGCACTTGATTTATGTTGGCCTTGTATTTTTTTTTGAAATAAAAAGTATAAAGTGCAGTATTCATAAGGTACCTAAAGGGTACCACTCATTTGCAAAAAATTTACAACTTTATTAATATATCTATGACATTCCCAAAATCCTGCACCCTATAAATGCCATGCCCCAAAATCAAGGATCCAAAAAATTGAAACCATCTATCCTTGATCTTAGATATCTCATTCTCAATACCTGAAAAGCCTTGTTGTTCCTTTCTTTCTATAACACTCAAAAAATAGTAGGTGGAATAAGCTTTACACATTACATTTTTTTACATAACCCTTCCCAAGCCCAAATCTCTTCCCCTACTGAGCCCGCAATAACCTAAAAAAATGTTGGCGTTACTCTGTAATATTCTGCTCTTTAATAATCTTCTTACATATTTAAACAAGGGAAGGTATTGTCTGGCATACTCTGCATTTGATAGGTGATTTTTCTCCTACTACTTTTGAACTGCTAAATGGTAGATTAAAGAATTTATGGATTAGTAATTATTGTCTTTCCCTCTATATTATACATTTCGCACAAAATGTGGATTAGAGAATTAGTAGTCAAGGATTTTGAGCTGCCTGGTGAGATGGCTTAATGCATGATAATCTTTTTCGTATATCGGGTATTTGGTTGATACTGGGGCTCAGTCTTTTCTGAGAACACCTCCATCTTCAATAATGAATTACTACCTTCATCTCTGGTGGGCACCCTCCATAGAAGGGCAATGGAAACTAAGGATAGTAGGATTTTCAAGCCTCAAATGTTTCACTAACAACATGAAAAGGAAGGTGGATCCCTCGTCTTGGTGCATTCAAGGACTTTTAGGTTTCAGGGTATGAGACCAACATCTCCAATAGGGAAAGAAGGAAATGATAGTGGAGGTTTTTCAGGTTTTTACTGCTGAAGTGGATTTCAAAAATCTAACAAGTTAGAAGTGGGAGCTTTCAATGTGGCTAATTGTTCGCAACTTAGAAAAAGTTATTTTCGTTTCTTATAAGTTATTCATTATATGCAGCTTGCAGCTTGCAGCTTGGAAAAGTTATTTTTCTTCTTATAAATTATTCATTAATGCCAGCTTGAAGGTGATGTATTGGCCGTTAGGAAAGCACTTGTTGCTGTCTCTCGTTGTCTTCAAGACTGTCAACCAACTGACAAGACAAGGATGGTTGGAAGCAAACCTGTGGACACAGTTTCTTTAGGGACTTTACACTTACCTCTGGAGATAGTTCCCCAGGAGCCTTATCTTCCCCAGGAGCCTTTACGCAGGCCTATTGATGCAGTGGCGCTAGACTCTCTGCACAAACCTGTTGACATTATTTCCCGAGATCCTTTCCGGAGGCTTGAGGTAATTCCCCAGCATGCTTTGCGAAGGCCTGTTGAGACAGTTGCTCAAGATGCTCTGCTCAGGCACGATGACTTGGTTTCCCAAAATAATTTGCGCAGGCCCCTTGATGTGCTTCCCCAAGATGCTTTGCGCAGGCCCCTTGATTTGCCTCCCCAAGATGCTTTTCGACGGGCTGTTGGGGTGCTTGCTCAAGATGCTTTGGGCAGGCATATTGAGAGAGACCCTCAAGAAACACCTCCTCACCTCCGTGTAGATTTACTTTCACACCGTGATGCGGTGCAGCATACCATGGTGAGCAGCAGTGTCAGTTATGTTTCAGGAGTTCATTCTTTACCCTTAGAGTCCGAACAGCATTCCACCTTGGATGGGAAAACTATGCAACAGGAAGTGGTTTTCAAAATTCTTTGTCCAACTGATCGAGCTGGTGGAATTATTGGGAAGGGAGGTGCTATTATTAGGGCTCTTCAGAGTGAGACCGGTGCTTCTGTAAGTGTTGGAGCTACATTAGCTGCCTGTGATGAACGTTTAATAACTGTTAGTGCATCAGAGGTTGGTCACTTGATGTTTACGTTTATTTTTTTAATGGAAACAAAATAGATATTAATATATGGTTACTTCATGGAGTAGTTTTACTAATTATCTTGCATTGGCTTCTTCTCATGAAGAACCCTGAGTTGAGATATTCGCCAGCACAGAAGGCTATTGTCCTTGTTTTCACTAGGTCTGTAGAGGCTGAAAGTGAAAAAAGCTTGGATTCTGCCTCAAGTAAGGGAGCATCCATCACTGCACGGCTTGTAGTCCCATCAAATCAAGTTGGTTGTTTGTTAGGGAAAGGAGGTTCAATAATTTCGGAAATCCGGAAAGCAACTGGAACAGGCATACGCGTAATAGGAGTTGACCGGTGCCCAAAGTGTGTCTCAGAGAAGGATCAAGTGGTACAGGTAAAATAGTGTCTTTCTCCTCTTGTATTTTACCAAAGGTCTAATTGGTACTTTAAGCCTGAGCAATATTGGAACCCTCTTTTGAAAGACGCATCACAGTTATAATTTTTGACTCATTTTCAGTGTATATTTTTTCTATGGTAGATAGTATATGACATTAGCATTTTATGATACTAACTAATTCTCTATTTGTTTAACTTTTTATGACATTGATTATTTCTCTATTTGTTTAAAAGATTTCCGGAGAGTTTCCAAACGTGAAGGATGCTATATATCATATTACTGGCAGATTGCGAGATAACCTCTTCTCCAGAATGCCGAGCAGTCTCGGAACAAAGAGCAGTTCCTCTGTAAAAATCGAGACAAGTCCTTATGGAAAACTCACAGATTCTACTGCCCCTGTTAGCTTGCGTTCATCAGTAGGTCTTTCTCAAAATCTTAGTAGACATTCTACCTTCACTCCTGGTATGGATCATCTTGGATTTTCTCATACTTATGATAGTCCTCCTTCACCAAGATTGTGGGGGTCACAGGTAAGTTTCTGTCTTTCCCTTCCTCCTTTTCAGATGTATTCACATTCTTGTCAACATGGAAGTTTGCACTCTTTCCCGTCCGAGGGACATACTACATGCAAAGTGCAAACACTTTTTGGTTTCTGTTGGTTTTCCTTTCTCTCTCATGGTGCTGAATTTGATTGCAGACAGTAGGCAGAGTAAATTCAAGCATGGGAGATGATGTTGGCAGAGGATTGACTGCTACTAGGTGTGGACTAGAACTGGGAAGGTTGGTATCCTAGAACACCGAATATATGAAGCAAAATTATATATTTCTTTTCCCAATGAACATGATCATGTGTAAACTTAATCAGCTGATGTATTATGCTACTTTAAATTATTTGCAAGGCCTCTTCCCCTTATACGATAGTTGCTAGTTGTTTTCCATAAGTTTAAAAATCTTTCGGATGATATGATGCTTCCGATTCCTTATCATTTTTCAAGGAATGGATTTCTGTCTGAAAATTCAATTTTTGCAAAGTTGTTTTTGGTTGGCACTTCACCTGCATAATATACTTCTTTTTCATTCTCAAAAAGAAAATCTATCTTTGCATAGTTTGAAATCAGATTCTGGATATCTTTTCATTGTGGTATTTTGGATTTTTGGATCCAAGCTTGCTCGCGGTCAATCAAGTCCTTCACATCTATAACCATACTCTTCTGAATGTGCAAAATCGTTTATGCATGAGTAAGAGTCACTCCTATTTCTAAAATCATTCAAACTTATTTACTTTATAACTTATGGACCTAAATGTGGTGATGATAATGACTAAGGAAGACAATTAAAAATGACTTTAAGACAGTTTAAATGCTATTAACTATTGACTCTTTCCTTTGTCCTTGTAGCGGAAAGAAAACGGCTATTGTGACAAATACAACAGTAGAGATTAGAGTTCCAGGGAATCTTATTGGTTCTGTTTATGGCGAGAATGGTAGGAATCTGGATTGTCTAAGACAGGTATGGTACAAACCTTTTTTGAATTGAAGTTTTAGTTTAACTTGGTCAGAGTTTTCTTGATAAAATTTGGACTGGTTTTAATTGGCTGTATGGTCCAGCCATGGTTTAGCAGAAAAGTAAAATATGGAAAGAGATTTAACTGGCCATCTGCTGATAATTCTGCCAAAGAGAAATAGACATCAACATCAAACAAACTCAATTCCTCAACCTTACACAAAATGGGAAAAGAGGACCCTAGGAGAATACATCACATAAAGCACAAATAAATAGGTTCAGGCCAAAGATAAATAAAACTAAAACTATCTCTATTTTTTTTTTTTTTTTAAAAAAGCTAAAACTATATCTCTAAAAGAAAGCTTTAGACAAATGTAACTGCCATCTGATCAAAATTCTTCCAGTCTTAAAACAAAATTTCATGCAATATCTGCCTCATGACAACGCATTTTATAAGAAACAATTGGTTAAACATTGGTTTTAAAAATTCATATAAAAACCTTGCATATTTGAAGTTTAGCCTGAGTGGTGAAGATCTCATACAACGAGAAAGCTCACCTCCTTGTAATAAAGCCCATAAGTACATTTGGTTCCTTTTCTTTCTTCAGAATAAGTATTCTTTCAATTAAATCACAAGCTACCCTTTTTCCCACCTAAGATCATAGTTGTCTCTGAGGCTTCAAGATTTACTTTTTTATGAGATATCCAATCAGAATAAACTTAAGATTGACCTCAGAATTTTCTTTAATCAGATTTCCGGTGCCAAAGTCATAGTGCATGAACCTCATATAGGAACAAATGATCGGATTATTGTCATATCTGGGACACCTGATGAAACCCAGGCAGCTCAAAGCCTTCTTCAAGCGTTCATCCTCACTTGACCATCTTGATGAAATCATCTTCAACTTAAGACTTAAATTTTCACCGAAGGAGGAACAATTGACCCCTGGGTTGTTTTGCTGCTATTAATTTCTTCAATTGTGTATGCTCATCCTGGATATTTGCTTGTGATATGCTAAGTTGGTGACACCATGTCTAGCCAAAAAAGCAATTGGATTCTATCATTCACAGATATGTTCTGTAGGAACTAGACGGCTTCTGATTGAGAATTTAATGTTTTAAGTTGGTCTCTTCGTTTTTGTTTTCTTAGTCACCATTTTCTCTTCTTTTCTTATATTAGTTCTGGGTATCTTGAGATTTGAAGGAGAGTCCCCGTTTGTTTGTCAAGAGGGATGAAGAAAAAGAAGCCTTATGTTTAGCGCTTAGCACATGACAACTAAATGATCTAGTATCGTTTAAACATTAATTTCAAATGGATGCCAAAACATAAATTCTCAAAAACAGGATCATAGATGAGCATATGAATGTCAGTTGCTCATAGACTCTCAAAGATGCTCAATGAAAACCCATTTCACCTCACCAATCCCACCTTAAGTTAACACTAGACCGGAGAATTACCTAGATAACAATAACCTGTTACTCGACTAATAAGGAATCTTAGGTTTGTTTAGTCTTGAAGACTTTCGTCATCTTTTCTCAAACAAAAAGTCTTCACACTTAACTGGAAACTATGAAGACATCTACTTAACATTCTCTGGAAAGGCTACTACAAAAAATCATCTCCTCTTCCTTAATTAGACCTTGAGAACTATGAGAAGTTGTTATTTCCTCCGTCCTGGGAGTTTCATCTCCTCTTAGACAATTGCAATCTGTGCATTTAAAGGAATGCTTTCTGAGGTAAACTTTCTCAATTTTATTCTGTGATCCTTGAGAGGAACTGGAGATGAGTATGTTTAAATCCAGTTCTGTTCAAAAGAAAAATATAAAAATTGTTTTATTTAGTTTCTCTCTAATTGGTTTATCTTATAGTCTTGTTTCCGTTCACTCAAATTAACTTGGTGGAGAAATAAACCACATTCATCAGGGACCTAAATGACTATTGGCAACCCATGTAAACGTTACTAATGATAAAAAAAATGATCAGTTACCCCTAAAGGGTACACCATAGTGGCACATCTTTAAGGTAAGAATGCCTTTTTCTGTGGGGCGGAGGGTCGGATGAGAGGTCTATAAAATTTAAAATTATCAGTTGGTTTTTGATTTATTAATGTTTATGATGACTTTTATCGC